TCAGGTGAGTTGACCTAAGACTGAATAGTGTGGAAAAAAGAAAGGATCAGAAGACATTCATTCAATCATTTGCTCATTCAAATATTACACTGTTTTCCTCTAAGCCAAGTGTGGGTCTACAGAGTGAGACTACAACAATGAGCAAACAATAAAAGGTCCACCTACGAGAGCGAACTATCTAGTGGAGGATACAAAAGGGCAGAAAGACAACTATGTCACAGTGGATGGTCACCTTTAGGATGGAGGTGCTCAAGTTAGTAAGCAAGTTGTGGGAAGAAGATTTAAGAATAATGAGAAGTTAGGAAAGGCATGTAATAAATCCCTAAGCTGTGTCCTGCAGCCTCTATAGAAACTTATCAGAGGAAACAGCATGTACAAAAGCACAGCTGCACCTATGGCTAGAAAAAAAACTTGTAGCATCCAAGACAGTAAACATTCTGGACATTTCAAACTGATATTCTTTGAAACATGTGTTAAAGATCTATTTTATGGGATAGAGAAAAATAATTTTCTATTAATAAAAATTAAACAAAGGGTTCACTTATTAATTTATTTCTACTAAACTCAAAGAGTCACTTTTCTCATAAAGAGTAGAAAGGGTGCCCTGGCCAGTTTGGCTCAGCAGTTAGAGCATCAGCCAGCAGACCAAAGGGCCTCGGGTTCGATTCTGGTCAAGGGTACCTACCTGGGTTGCAGGTTAGATCGCTGGCCTCAGCCGGGGTCGTGTGGGAGGCAACCAATTGATGTCTCACACCGATGTTTCTCTGCCCCCCCACCTCCCTTCCACTGTATGAAAAAATCGATGGAAAAAATTTGCTTGTGTGAGGACTAATAAAAAAAGTAGAAAATGATCTACTACTTGATCTCTCTCACCTTTTATTCAATGATTTTGCTAGGATCCTAACTTCTTGTGAGCCTAAGCAAAATAAGAAATTAAAATCTTAAATATTTAAGAAAGAAGTACATCTATAAGTCAAATATCACGTTTCATATTTATTCTAGAGATCTTTTAGTGTCCCTTACAGAATGGACACCAGACATCCCTTGTACCCCTCTAACTCTTAAACTCCCTCTGATTAGATGGTACAGGATGGTACAGGGTGATTAGATGGTACAGGGTGAAAGGGAGGGTCCAAAGATTAGGCTAAAAATGTAGACAGGGATCAGATAATACTGAATCTTGTAACTCATGAGAAGGTGTCTGCACTACACCTTAGGAGCCATAGTGAATTTTTGAGAAGATTTTAAAAAGGGGAACTATTATAAGGCTGTTTTTGTAATTCAAGCTAGATATGCTAGTGACTTAAGTAAGATGAATACAGTAGAGATAGAGTGACCCGTACTTGAAAAATAGAAATTATTAACTGACTAAAGTTGGAGATAAGAGAAAAGGAGGAGAAAAGAGTAATTAAGGATAATTCTTAAGTTTTAGACTTGAGTAGTTGGTAAATGAAGACACCACAAGCTGAGATAGAGTATACAGGGACAAACAGATTTGATATAAAAAAAACATAAATTCAGTTTCATACATGTTAAGTGATGTTCTTATAGGACATCAAAATGAAGATGTTTATAAATATGTCTGAGACCAGGAGAAAGATTTGGGGTGAAGACAGACATAAGCAACATAAGTACATAGACAGAATCCATGAGATGAATGAGAATACTAGAAAAAGTAGAAATACATATAAAAGTACCTAGGGAAAGCCATGAGAATCTCCTGTATTAAACAGAAAGAGGCTGAGAAGAAACCACCAGAGATAACAGAAGAAATGCAAGAGCGGCAGTATCATGGCTTTGAGAATCTAAGTGGTCCAAAATGTCCAGTGCTCGACATGTCCTCTAAATTACCAAGAAATCATTGTTTGTGAACTTGTTGAGAACAGTTTTAGTAAACAAAGATTAACCCCAGCTGCAGCACTTATTAGCCATGTCAACTTCAGCCAGTCACCAAATCTCAGGTTTCTCATCTGTAAAACAGGGAAAACAAAAATGCCCAGCCTTCCTACCTTACGGTTTTATTATGAGGATTAAATTAAATTCCATAATGTATGTAAAAGTACCATATAAACTTTAAACAGAGGGTATAAACAAGTGTTATTTAACTGTGCTGTTTTTCAAGCTGTTCAAGGATGTCAATTCTCTCTTCTACTCACATGGCTCAGAAGTCACATTTGACTTACACTGGCCAGTATAGCAGCAGAAGCAACACAGGCAAAAGGTGTAAGAAATAGTGCATAGTACATGTTCTCTGTTCCTTGCCACTGACACTGCAAAAACATGTTTCAAGACAAAGCCTTCATAAGCCCAGAGCTTTGAGTGGCTGCCATAAGAAGAGAGCCCTATAGATTTCTCACCTTGGCATGTTTTATGGGGACAATGAAATGCTGCTGCTTTAAAACAGGAAGGTGTTGGAATTATGATCACAGCAACTAATTGCAGTGTAAGTAACAAGTAAACAAAAACAAAAAAAAACAGAGGAAAATCCCATCTTAGGCAGTAATCAATGAGACATCATAGGGGCTGTCACTCACTCTAATGTACTGATTTTTATTTTATGGGACAGAGTAAATCACTAATCTTCACACTTGATTCAACATTCTTAAAGTTACAGAAAAGGTAAACAAGAGTAACAAATGTACATAACAGAATTTCTAATGAAAGTACACTGGTTGGGGAAGTATGAGACAGAGTACCAGTGAGAAAAAACTGTCTCCCCGCCTCACAATTCTTATACATTGTTTGTACTCCAAATTTTCTTCAATCCTTAGTAAGCATACTTACACCTAAATGTCTGACTGGTTGTGTATTTGTGTTAGGCCAAAGACACACTGCCCAGGTGAGTTTTTAGAAATAAACAGAAAATAGAAAAAGTAACTAGGACCAATTTCATGAAGAAGGAATTGTTTACTCTTCAAATATTAACAGTAAGTTACTGCTGCCAAATGCCAAATTACTGTTTGATATGCCTAAATGGAATGTGTGTGCTGAAAAATGGCAATTACTCAGAACCAAGGCCAGAAGTAGAATCCAGGTCAGAGCGAGGCACAAGGGCCCATTGTGCCTCCTCACCAAGAACATTAAATTGCCCCCACTTCTTTATTCTGACCTTGACCCCTCTCATTAGCTTTGACAAGCCATGAAAGAGGATTATAATTGCTTCAATCCTAATGCAGTTGAAGTGAATTACATGAAAGAAACACTTAACAAGGGATGTGTGCTTGTAATCATTTTTTAAGGGGGGGGTGGTGATAGGACGCACAGAGAAAACATTTCCACAACTCTCAGAAATGTCTTATTTCACAAAGCATCATTAATAAACCCATCAAAAAAGTCTGACCACTACCTTCTGCTCTAAAATTTTTGACTATTTCTAAATAGATTGAACTATGAAGATTATGAACGGTTTCTTTGAAAGCAATATTGTAAATACTGAAAGCAATTTCATAAGGCTGCTGGTTTATATAAGGGTCTAATCATCGGATTAACTGAGCAACAGCTCAAGGTGACTACTTTGAGAAGGGTTCATTCATTAGGACATACAAGCTCTGGAAAGAGATGTTGTATTCAATGTTGTGTCCCTTAGGGATGCCTTAATAGCAGTTGCTGAATTGAATTCAGGTAATAAGTGACAATGCAAGGTCATGAACTTAAGTGGGCTTTTTTTTTCTAATTCCTCATCAACAGTGTTTCATTATCCCCAATACTCCTTCTTGCCAGTAACTAGCTAGATGTTTTCTGTTCTTGAAAATTTGACTATGTATATTCTGTTGCCATAACTATTTTCTTTCTCAAGTTGCTCAGCTAAAAGGGCAGAAACCATTAAATCATTAAATCACAATATGCTAACCTCATAAATGTAATTACTATAACTAGTATTCTTAAAAACTGTATTTTTTTAAATTTTATTTTTGTTACAGATGTTTCTCCTTTTTTACCCCATTGACACCCCCCACCCGCTTTGTTGTCCATGTCCATTGGTTATGCATACATGCATATAAGTTCTGTGGTTTATCTCTTCCCTCCCCCCACCACCCCTTCTTCTGAGGGTTGTCAGTCTCTACCCTATTTCTGTGTTTCCGGGTCTACCTACTCCTCAGACTGTTATGTTCATTATATTCCGTAAATAAGTGAGATCATGTGGTATTTGTCTTTTTCTGCCTGGCTTGAAAAACTATCTTAAATTGAGCTGACTACTAGCATTATTATCCCAGCAACTTAACTGTAGTAAACCAATTTACTATAGCATGAGAGACAAGCTAAAACTAGAACATTCTAAATTGGCTTCTGGGAAGTTTGGCTTCCTTTGCCTTCCACCCTCTCCAGGCTGGCAATGCCAAACACTGAGTGTTGCTGTAGTTTAATCATCAACGTTGGGGAGGAAGGGGTTGACAAAGATTACTTAATCTTCTCTGAGAGTGGGGTGTATTAACAAGGAAAGAATAAAAGCTGCCAGAAATAATCCTGTTAGATATAAAAATCACAATATTTGCTATTAAGTAAACTAGAAAAACGTTCAAGCGCAATTACACACGCCCTGTGTCGTGCACACCAGAAAGCACAGGGTCACGCGGGTGCGCGGAAAGGTCAGGAAACGCACCGTGGCAAAGCCTCGCTCTGCATCAGAGCGGAGGAAGCCAGCACTAGGAGCAAAGCACGTACTCAATGGCGCAAAACCACTGACTCGAGGGGAAAGGAGGGGAGGAAAGTTAGTTCCGCGCTTGGTCGCCTAGTCAGGGGGCCAGTCTTTAATCTAACAGCACCGGAAACCACAGGGCCTAATTACTAAAATCGACCCGACGCCCAGCTTCGGAAGGGGCTCCCTCCAAGACCGGGGGCGGGGCCGGCGGGGGGCGGGCCCGGCGGGGGGCGGGCCCGACGGGGGCGGCGCCGAGGGGCGGGGCCACGCGCCCTGCAGCCGAGGGGAGGCCCCATTCCTGAGCCTGCGCTCCTGGGAATCGGGGGATGGGGAGGATATCCCCGAAGGAGTCTGGCGGTACCTGCGCTGGAAGTCCTGGGCGAAGGGCTTCAGGTACGGGTCAACCTCCAGAAGTCTGCCTAGTTCGGGCACGTCCGCCAGGGCAGCAGCCAGCGCCGCCTCCGAGCAGTCGGCCGGAGCCGCCATCTTCCGCCGCAGCCCGAGTAGCCGAGGCTGGAGAGGGTCGAGCGGAGCCTGAGCCGGACGGGCGCTCGAGCCTGGAGGAAAGCGGCGAGGGCGGGGCCGCCCAAGGCCCTTTATAGCCCGAGAACGTCCGCGGGCCCTTCACCCGCGCTGGCGGGAGGGACGTGACCACGGCGAGCCGGAGCGCACATCCCGCGGGGAGGAGGGGCCTGGCCTCCGCCACCCACGCGGCTCCCCGGGAGGCCGCGCAGACCGGCCTTTTCCTCCCCAGCCCTACGCCCGGCCAGGCGGAGAGGCCGGGGGACGCGGGTCCGAGTCCACCCAACTCAGTATTTACCCTGACCCGCTCTTGGCTCCGGAGCGAACCCTCTGCTTTTCGTTAAACAGCTCCCACTGGCGGCACCCCCTCCAAATGGATATCTAGTTTTTTTGAAACTTTCTGCTCAGAGTTCTTAGATTATTTTTTTGTTGTTGTTAGGGTAGTTATCAGGCAGATCAAGTGAATCACAGAGTGGGAAACAGCCAAATATACATATAGTAATAACTCTTGAAAAAGTATCATTAGTTAACTGGACATCTGCTAGGTTTTCCCGTCTCCTAAATTTAACCAAAGAGGCAGGATCCTGGAATCGCTCCATGAACACACTAGCGGTGTGGAAGTATTCTCAGGGTTACCAATGGCTGAGAATTGAAACCATGGCAAGAACTTCTCATTCCCATACCTTAGGGGGGAAATGGTCTTTTGTTTTTGTTTATAATTGATCATTGTTGTAGCAAACTATTTAAAAAGTGGAGACCAGCTTTGAAAATACCCTTTAGTCATACAAACAAAATTGAATTTAGCTTATATTGCAAGAGTAGCTTGACTTTTACCATTTTTTGTTATATCTTTGGAAATCGTAATCAAAACTTGAAGTGCTTCCCAAGGTTGATGTTCATTCGTTCTACTTAGGCTATTTCTGAACTTTTCACAATACTAGCCTACATGAGAGATAGGGAAGAGCTGTTAAATTGGAATTCAGCTGTGCCGCTTATTAAGGAAGTGATGATGGAAGAAATTGCTCTCTCTTTTGGCTTAAAAATGGGGGACTGTGTAGTCTTACCCACTTAGAACTTATTTATGTTCTTTCATTCCCATGAACTGATTTGCTTCTGGCTCCATCATTTTTTTAAGAATACGGAATTGTATACTAAGAGAATTGGACCCACCAGCCAGGAGTTTCCAATCCGATTTTTACCTAGAAGCTGGACAGGCTTGAGGATATCTGTCCCAGTTAAAACTAGATGTAGAGAATCCTAGGAGCTGTACACAAGGAATAGTGTTGATCAGCCATGGGCCTTGAATGTTAAGACATCCAAAACATTTGTTTATGAACAGGTTAAAAAGGACTTGAAAGATCTAGTAACAGAGAACCTCAAAGTGAAGACTGGAGGACTTGGAGAGCCTTCAGAATGGCATGTCTGATTTTCCATAAAGATGACAACATGCAAACGTTTGTAAATATAAAACACTGTAAACAACACTTCAAACTCAGAAGCAGGCTATCCAACAGACCAGGATAGCTATATCTCCAATCCTAAACTTCTCAGAAATCCAGGTGGTTTGGATACCTGCCTACTGTAATCTCTGTTTAGCTGGCTAAGAGACCTAAACCAGCTATCTCCAAAATAAACCCTAGATCAGTCTTCTTATCCTTTGTGTTATCATCCTTACACAGGCCTTCATCTCTCACTTGGACTAACATACCCAGCTGGTTTCCCTTCTTCTATTGTTTCTCACTCCTAATCCATTCTCTAGTGTTTCTCAAATTTTAATGTGCAGATGAATCACTTGGGGATATTGTTAAAAGTAGACACTCTTGCCCTGGCTGCTTTGGCTCAGCGGTTAGAGCATTGGACCGCAGACCAGAGAGTCCCAGGTTCAGTTCCCGCTAAGGGCACGTACCTCTGTTGCGATCTGTCCCCCGCCCCAGTTGGGGTTGTGTGGGTGGCAACCAGTCTATGTGTCTCTCTCACATCTATGTTTATCTCTCTCTCTTTCTTTCTTTCTCCCTCCCGCTCTATCTGAAGATAAATGCAAAAATGTCCTCAGGTGAGCATTAAAAAAAAAAGGAGACACTCTTCCTCAATTCTGCGGTATTGCCTCAGATTCTGCAACTTAAAAAAGGTCAGAGGTGATGCTGCTGCTCATTGGGGACACACTTTGAATAGTAAGGCTCTACACAAGGAATAAATCATACAACTTAAATGACATGTCAGGTCACTTGGAGTTAAATATAAACTTCTTACTGTTCCTTAACAAGGTTTGTATAATCTGGTTCTTGACAGCCTTTCTACCATTGTTTTCATCATTCTCTGGCTTTACTATTCTGTAGTCACACTGTCTTTCCTGGAATGTACTGAGTTATTTGTAGCCTCTGAAACTTCACTTGCCCTTCTCTCTACTGGGTATTCTTTTTCCTGGGCTCTTCATGGCTTGTTCCTTCCTAGAATTAATTAAGGTTTCAGGAAAAATGTCAACTCATCTCTGAGAAATCTCTGATTTTGCTATCTAAATAGAGTCCTTAATATCCTCTATTGTAGCACATTCTCTCCTATGCAAATTAACAAAATTTAGGGCTTTTTTGTTTTGTTTTGTTTGTCTTTTATGTACTCATCTCCCCCTTTAAAATATAAACTCCAAGAAAGCAAGGACCTGTTCTAGCTAATTGTTGAACAAGTATTGAAGTTCCATATGCCAGCCAGTTTCCACAGTACTGGGAATTAGTGATGAACAAAAGTTTTCATTGTCATAAAGCTCACAGAATAGGTACTGGTTTTCCAGGGCTGAAGGGGATGAAAAGTAACTGCTAATGGACATAGGGTTTCTTTTAAGAGTGATGAAAATATTCTAAAATTGATTATGCTCATGGTTGCACAACCCTGCATAGACTAAAAACTACTGAATTGTACACTTTAAGTAGATAGATGATAAGTGAATTACAGCTCAGTAAAGCTGTTTTTAAAATAAAAAAATTAAAAAAAAGAATTTTTGGGTATAAGTAATATAAAAACTACAAATTCCTGCCTGTTGAAAATCATTAAAAGAAATCAAACAAAAAGAGTAAATCCAATTAACTTCAGCCAAACTCTGGAGAGAGAAGTAAAAATTAAGTAACGTTTAATTAAAAGCCAGTATGGTAATAAAGGAAAAAGTGGCTTCTGAGAAGACAAAAGAGAAATTTCAGAAAGAAGAGAGTGATCATAACCCTTCCATCTTTAATAATGTCATTGAGGACCAGGTTTTTTTCTTTTATTCTTTCACTTTCTCATGTATTATTTGAGGATAAGTTTACCCCATCATGGTCATAAAATGGATGCTACAGCTCTAAGATCACTTCCTCATAGCCACATCTAAAGAAAAGAAAAATAAATGTTGCTCAGTTGGTTGGAGTGTCATCCCATACACTAAAAGGTGGTGGGTTTGATTCCTGGTCAGGGCACATACCCAGGTTGTAAGTTTGATCCCCAGATAGGGCGTGTATAAGAGGCAACTAATGGATGTTTCTCACATCAGTGTTTCTCTTTCTTCCTCTCTCAATTTAAAAGTAATTATAATAAAGAAAAATGAGTGTTTATTCTGTGTGTCTTTGCCTACAGGAAAACTTTCTTTCATATCCCTTTGGCTATAACTAGGTCACATACCCATCCCTAAACTGACCCAGAGGAATGTGACTACCGTGACTGGTTTCAGTTGTGATTCACTGCTTGAACTGGGTTCACTTCCCTTAACTGCATTGCTGCCCAGCTTCTGGATTAAATGGTGATTCAATTCACATGGAAAAAGAAGGATTGATAATCATGCCTGCCGCATCTTCCTTTGCTATCCATCCTAGATTCACTATCCATGAAACTTGCCAGAGTTGTTAGCTGTCTTGTGCCTTTGTGATGGATTTTACCATGCTTACATGGCAAAACTTCAACCTAGAACCAATTAATTTGCTTTCTCCGTTTCTGTATCCATGCTGCTGAGAAATATCACACAAAAAAATGTGATAACTATAGGAACAAGTTACACTAAAATCCCTTCCTCATGCCAGACAACCACAATTTTATAGGCTACACACTGCATGAGGTATGCCCAGCCAAGAGGGAAAATGAGGCCATTTGTTTCTAGGAAAGAGAACTGTTTCCTTTGTACAAAGGTTCCTCTCACTCATCAAGCTATGAATTTTTAGAAGTGTGTCCACCACAAGAAGGCATTTCTCAATCTAAAGAAGGGCACTGTACAGTCATGCAATGCTTAATAAGGGAGATGTGACCAGAGAAATAAGTCATTAGGCAAACATCATACATTGTATTTACACAAACCTAGATGGAATAACTTACTTCAATGATTGTATGTGCTATACCTTTCCATGACTGTCAATAAAGTAGGTTTGTTTACGCCAGTAGCACCACAAACACATAAGTAATGTAGTGATTGTTTTATGACTTTAAGATAGCTAAGATGTCACTTGGTAATCAAAATTTTTCAGCTTCATTTTATTCTTATGGGACCACCATCATATATGTGGACCACTATTGAGTAAAATATCTTTATGCGGCACATGACGGTATAGGCCCTACTTCATTTTATTGTGCTTCACTTTATTGTGCTTTGCAAATATTGCACTTTTTTAAACAAATCAAAGGGTTGTGGCAATCAAGCAAGTCTGTCAGCACCCCTATTCCAACAGCATTTACTCACTTCATATCTTTGTATCACATTTTGGTAATCTCATAATACTTCAAAATTTTCATTGCTATTATATTTGTTACAGTAATATGAGCTCAGTGATCTTTGATGTTACTATTGTAATTGTTTTGGAGTGTCACAAACTGTGCTCATATAAGACAGGGAACTTAGTAAAGTTGTGTATTCTGAGTGCTCCACTGACAGGACATTTCCCAATCTCTCTCCCTATTCTTAGGCCTCCCTATTTTCTGATACACAACAATATTGAAATAAGGCTAATTGATTACCCTACAATGGCCTGTAAGTTTTCAAGTAAAAGGAAGAGTCTCACCTCTCACACTAAATCAAAAGCTAGAAATTATTAAGCTGAGTGAGGAAGGAAAGAATGTAAAAAGCTGAGATGGGTCGAAAACTGGACCTCTTATGCCAAATAGCCAAGTGGTG